GAGAATCTGAGATAACAAGGTGTAGAGCTGGATGAACACAGCAGGCCGAGTAGGAAGGCTGACGTTTTGGGTCTGGACCCTTCGATTAGCAGCAGTGCTTTCTTGATTGACCAATTCAACATTCAACCAGCAACCAGACCTGAGCATAACAACCACTTCATGCTGCCTTGTCTACAATGTTATTGGATCAGTCATCAAGCTCATTATGTTCCAGGCCAGTTCCCAATAGAAAACAGATGTTTTCTTTTTATTTTTGAAAAATGCTGCTGTTTAAAGTTCAATTCTTAATGCCCACTCATGGTTCTAAGCCAAAGGAAATTGGAGGAAAAATAGAAGGGGGGGAAAAAAGTAGTGAGGGGCTCTACACTAAACATTCTCTTCCTTTTACAGATGCTCAGTAGCAGTAGTACTAAGGCTCCTTTTTAGACAGCACCTTCCAAACCCACAACCACTTCCGTCGAGAAGGACAAGGGCATCAGATACATGAGAACACCTCAGCCTGCAAGTTCCCTTTCAAGCCCCTCCCCATCCTGACTTGGAAATATCACTGTTCCTCCACTGCTGGGTAAAAATCCTGGAATTCCCTCCCTAAAGAGCATTGTGGGTCAACCCTACAGCATATGGACTGCAGCTGTTCCAGAAAGCAGGTTACCGCCTTCTCAGGGGGCAACTAGGGACGGGTAATAAATGTTGGCCTAAGCCATAGTATGTCCCATCTGAATTGTAAGTGGGCAGTGAGACTCGGGAACAGTTGTTACGTGGTACACTAGTGCTTGCATAGTCAGGGCTCGCTGTGGATAATTAGGTGATGATCAGGTAGTTACCATCAAGCAGAAGTACTGAGACGTGTTTATACCTGACACAGGAAATCACCTCCTGGAAGTTTGAGATCCATTTGTTTGTTACCTGATTAGATAATCAATCAGAAGTAACATTTTAATACAGGCTATTTAGCTCCTAACCAGTGTTCACAATATTGGTGACTGTGGGTTTTTTTTTTGTTTGTGGCATATTTTAGTGGAAAAAGATTTCAAACAAGTGATGATAGTTACATGCCTGAAATTGTTGACTATCTTGGGTGTTTGTGCTCTGAATATGCGATTATTGTAAACTCTACAGCAAGAACATCTTCATCTGCAACTACATGTTTCAGTGTTCCTCTCCTGAACTTCAAATAGATCTGTTCCTGGTCAACCTTTCTTCAGGAGGCCAGTTTGTCCTTTTTGACAATCTCTACAGCCCCCTTCACTGTGTCCAGTGCTTTCTCTCAATATAACCTTAAGTGTCACTTTGTGCCAGAGTTTTGAACCAGCTTAAAGTTCATCTGAACATTACTGACTGTGGGCAATCATCACCCTTTGAGGCTTTCTTGTGAAGGCTGTAATAGTTGCAGAAACATTGTCCATATTTGCCTTTGAACTGTAGCCAGCTACAGCAGCCTCTCAGGGAGTAGACAGAGTGACTTCACTTTGAAATAACTCTGTTTGGATCAACGAAATCTTCATGTGAATCAACCCAGTGTTGGTGCTTGTTTAAATAATTACAAGCAGCTTCTTGTTGATGGTTCAATCAGTGATCCAGTGCTTTATTCTTGTGCTAAATGAGAAAATATTTTCAAGAGTGAATCACTTCATTTGGAGTCTTTCTAAAAGCTGGGAAATGCTGCTTTCCTGAGGGAGACACTAATTACATTCACCCTCATTCATCAGTTTTGATTTGATGAGACTGATGGGACAATTCACTTGTTTCAGAATCAGAGGGTCATGGGTCCCACTCCTGTTGTCCATAGCCACCAAGGTCTTAAGTCATACGATACCAGGTTATAGTCCAACAGGTTTATTTGAAATCACAAGCTTTGAGTACCAGCCTTTCATCAGGTGAAGTGAGGAGAAGCATACAGGCACAGAATTTATAATCAGAGAGATCAAACAAATGGTGTGAGTGGAGTGTTAATAGGCAGAATAATAGGTCTCTGCAGGTGATCAAGAGTGTCAGACAGTGTGAGTAAAGTGTCAGCAGCTGAGTAGCATATGAAGGGATGACCTATAATCCAATTAAATGAGGCATAGAAATAATTACAAAAAGTTAAAAATAACATGGTGCTGGAGACAAACCAAATGGCTGGAATAGCATGACAGGTATAACAGTTGCATGCCAAGGGTCCAACCAAAGTAACAAGAAATCCAAAACTGTACAAACTAATTAAGGTGGAGAGATCATAACAAGTTATCAAAGTGATGGTGTCAAAACAGGACAGTAAGAATGGGATACAATGCTCAACTCATTGATCGCCAATTCCAACATGCCACAGTGAAAATCTGCAATGACCATCTCAGAAGACAGGATACGACTGGTAGAGTACACTTTGTCGTCCAGTACTTTCCCGAAGTGGAGAGAAAACACCATGTTCTTTGCAGCCTTCAACATGTCATCAATGATGAACACCTCGCCAAGATCATCCCTGTGCCACCACTACTCACCTTCAAACAACTGCCAAACCTTAGACAGACCATCATTCGCAGCAAACTACCCAGCCTTCAGGACAACATTGACCACAACACTGTACAATCCTGATGAAGGGGCAGTGCTTTGAAAGCTTGTGATTTCCAATAAACCTGCTGGACTATAACCTGGTATCATGTGACTTCTGACCTTGTCCACCACAGACTAACACCAGTACATCCATATCATAATCACCATGAATATTATCTCTGTGCCAGTAGTGAGGGACTGTTGTAAGTACCATCTTTCAGACCAGAGGTAAACCCTAGCCCTGACTGTTGACCTGGGTGGGTAAGAATACCCAGTGGTGCTATTTGTGAGTGTTCTCCATTGTTTCCTTTTCATAAAAACTCTTTATGTGGCCAGTATCTCATCAATAGGTAGGAGAACATCCCACGCTGCTGCTTCCTACAACAAAACTCAATGATACCTTAATAAAACAAAGAACTGTGGGTGCTGGAGATGTGAACAAAACAGAAATTGCTGGAGAAACTCAGCAGGTCTGCCAGCATCTGTGAGAGAAAACAATGAATGTTTTGAGTCCAGTGATTTTTCATCACAGCTGAATTTATGTCAAAGATACTTTATTTGAATGTGATGCACTTTGAGACCTCTAGAGTCCATTAAAATTTCTGTAGAAATACTAATCTTTTACTTTTGGACTGGTTGTGAATACTATCCATTGCGTTTGGTTTTGGTGTTTGAATCTTCCTAAGTACTGACAATCTATCTGGGTGCTCAAGAACAGTCCTCTCTTCTGTGTCCAGCTTTCATTCTCCATTCGTCTTTGACCCACTCCACTCTGACACAAAACTGCTCCTCTGACTACTGCTTTTTTTTGTTTGGCAGCTTTATCAGAGGGTGAGAGGATGTCAAAACAGTCTCTGTTATCATTGTGAGTTTTTTTTTTAAGCCTATGAAATATAAGTGGTTTAGACCAGAGGGTTTTGAATTTAAACCACTGACTATTCCACTCTGTTTGATGGTTAATTAAACTATGCCCATCTGAGAGCAGATTACTCTGCAATGGACAGACTCAGGGTGACTATTGAACCTGAGACAACACCGTGTGGAGCTGGAGGAACACAGCAGGTGAGGCAGCATCAGAGGAGCAGGAAAGTTGATGTTTCAGGTCAGGACCCTTCTTCAGAAATGGGGGAGGGGGAAGGGAGCTCTGAAATAAATAGAAAGAGGTGGGGTGGGGCTGAGGAAGGTAGGTGGGATGGTTTTAGGTGAGTGCAGGTAGACAGTGGTGGGAATTGGTCAGTGAGGTGGCAAGAGTGGATAGGTGGGAGAGAAGACAGACAGGTTGTGTCAGGTCAAGGCGGTGAGGATGACAGGGAGGGTTGGTCATGGGATGAGGCCAGGTGTAGGGAGATTTTGAAACTAGTAAAGTCCACATTGAGACCATCAGGTTGTAGGCTCCCAAGGCGGAATATGAGGTGCTGCTCATCCAGTTTTCAGGTGGCATTGTTGTGACACTGGAGGAGAGGCAGGTGGACATGTCGTCCAGGAAGTGGGAGGGGGAGTTGAAGTGGTTCACGACTGACAGGTGCAGTCATTTGTCGCGAACCAAATGTAGGTATTCCACAAAGTGGTCTCCCAGCATGGTCTCCCCAGTGTAGAGGAGGCCACATTGGGAACAGCTGATACAATAGACCAGATTAGCAAATGTGCAGGTGAACATCTGTTTAATGTGGAAGGTTTGTTTGGGTCCTTGGATGAAGGTGAGGGGGGAGGTGTAGGGGCAGGTGTAGCACCTTCTCCAGTTGCAGGGAGAGGTGCCGGCGGTGGTGGGACTAGTGGGGAGTGTGGAGCGGATGAGGGAGTTGTGGAGAGAGCGATCCCTATGGAAGGCAGATAGGGCTGGGGAGGGTAACATATCCTCGGTAGTGGGGTCGGATTGCAGTGGCGGAGAACGCTACATTGAATCCGGAGGTTAGTAAGGTGGTATGTGAGGAGCAGCCCCTGGCCTCATCCCATGACCAACCCTCCCTCTCATCCCCACCTCCTTGACCTGTCCGTCGTCTTTCCCATCTATCTGCTCCTCCCACCTCACTGACCAATCCCCACCACTGCCTACCTGCACTCACCTATCACCATCCCATCTATCTTCCCCAGCCC